GACTTGGTCTCAAAAACAGAAAAACAAAAAGCATGGGTATATTTAAAACAATAATTACACAGTATCAAATCTCTTCAGCTATAATTTGGTTAATAAATATAATTTCATATAAACATTCTCGTATTTTTGAATACTGGAAGCAAAACATCCTCTACTAATTCCTATATTTTCACTAGAATCCAACTTTAAAAATTATATATAAATATGATAAATATTAGTCATATTAAAAATCTTGAAGGGTATTTTAGGTGGCTAGGTTCCAAACTCAGAACCTCATAGACACTAGGCAGGGGCCTGACAATTGACCACATCCTCAACCCCCAAAAGTTGGAAGTTTTAAAATACTGTTCCCCAATATGATTCAGAAAAATGCTTTCAGAATTCAGAAAAACACAGCCATCAGTAACAAAATGCAAGTGAGGAAAAGAACAGACATAAATTCGATTTCTCAATCAGTTAAATCTGTCAGTTTAAAATGACAGTGTCCTGAGATGATATCAGTCTAGGTTTAATGTGAGGAGTGGAGTGAGTCTTATAGCTCGAGACCAGTTGGAAGTATTTTCCAACTCCTTAGAGCAAGCTGAGGCTAAAAGAAAAAAGAAAAAAAAGCTAGTTTTTCCATGCATTTGCTCAGTATCTCTGGTAATGCCTCTTAAGTTCTGTCACCAGGTCAGTTTGAGGGTCCCTGTGTCGAGGGTCACACAGCTACTTGACACCATTTCATGACATAGCAAACTGACAAGGCTCCCACTTCTGCCAGTGTTGCAATCTCACACTTCTATTCCCGCCAAATCAGATTCAGGAGTTCCCATCCCTGACCAAAGGGACAACAGAAACCAGACAGAGCTCCCCAACGCAGCAGAAGCAGAAGATTTCTACCTGGCGAGCTTTAAGATTTCCAGAAAGTCTGCCAGTCATGATAGCACACCTTCAATCCCAGCACTCACAGAGGCAGGCAGATCTCTGTGAGTTCAAGGCCAGCCTGGTCTATGAGTTGTAGCCAGCTGGGGCTACAGGGAGACCTTATCTCAAAACAACACAACACAGCAAAACAGATTTCCGGAAAGCAAACACACAGTGGAGCCCCATCCCTTTTTGAGATCTGTTCCATGTCTACAATTACAGGACAGAATAAGCAGATTGTGTTAAAAAAAAAAAAACAAAACTAATCATTTCGTACACTTTATTCATGATCTTTTTTCTAGATTGGATCTGTGATTTCTAGAACAACTGCCATCAGTGTTGGCGTCAACCTAGATGTCTTGTCTTTTTTCTCATCTCCTCTCCTTTCTTCCTTCTTTCCTTCCCTTTTGGCAGGGGGCTGACCAGGCCTTCCTTTATTTGTAAAGACTGATTTACCAAAGTATTGGGTGAAAAGTTGCTAACTAGGGGCCCAGGGAGATGGCTGAGTAAAATATTTGCCTTGCAAACATAATGATCTGAATTCTGTCCTTAGAACCCACTTTTTAAAAAGCCAGGCATGGTGGCTCACTTGTAAGCCCAGTGCTTACAAATCCAGATAGGTGGATCCTTGGGACTTGCTGAAAGGCCAGCCTAACTGATTTAGCAAATTCTAGAGCAATGACAGACTCTATTTCAAAGAAAAAGTGGATGTCACCTGAGGTTGTCCTCTGGGCTCCATATGCATGTACACACATATGCATATGCACTGTACACACATGCACCAGCACACACATGGACATACATCCATACAAGAGTTGCCAGCTAGGCATCTATGAGAAAGACAAGCCAGCATTAATTCTAGCACATGGACTACAGGCAAATATCCAGTGTGTACATCTTTTTCCAATGTATATGTATATATTTCTCTTGCAGTCCTGGAATCCTTTCCCCACACCAGTCATACCAATCATTAATGTTACTGTGCCAGATCACGACTCTCACTAGAAGTTGTATGCACTCACATATGTATTGATTACCCCATCCCGAAGGCACTAGTTTTCTACCTTTACTCTCCACTTTTACTTTTGAGGAACTTGGGCAGGTGAATGGTTCCCATCAACCGGGAACATATGAACAGATATGGGACCTAATAAACTATGCTCTTCAGCTTGGTTGGAAAGAGTTCTTATAGCAACAATGGTGGCCACTTGTTTCATTTAATCCATGAGACTGTGCTGGTCCTGCTGGAGTAGCATTTGATGCAACCAGATGATCATAACATCAACTATTCCTGAGCCCCAAACATCTTCCTGGTTCTCACCTAACAGAACGTGGTGACCTTGGCCTTTTATTTTGGACCCAATACCTGTAAGCTATTTCCAAAATTAAAGCTTTAAATGCTGACAACTGGGTATGACAGCAATAATAGTGTCCAAAAATAACTCTTCTAAAATTTTTTTCATTTGGTTGTACTCCACCTTCTTCATGTAATGTTTTCCATGTTCCCAAGAGTCTTCATTCATTGATATTTTTCATACACCTAGTGTATAGGATCATCTAGGGCATAATTTTGAAGACAAACCATCCAAACTGTTAACATGCCTTTTACAGGTTTAGGTTTTGAGTTAGCAGTCTTTGTATTCATTTGGTTTGATTTTTCTTGTCTTGACTCAGACAAAAGATAAAAGGGAATGTAACTAAAATAGTATAAGGTAATATTTTTAAATGTAGATAGAAGAGTGGGTTGGTGGTCTGGTTTTGCTTCATGATAGATAGTTTAGAAAGTACATGCTTATTTTTAAGTGCTTAAAAACAGAGGCAACAAACTTCATCAACGGTCAGTGAGTGATGGCAGGAACTCCTGGTGGCCTCACTGGATATGCCTTTGTTTCGATATATTTACTGGCTTGTTATAAAACACCCAACTTGGGGCTATAGCTCAATTGGTAGAGTGCTGGCCTAGCATACCAGAGGCCCTAAACTGGGATGGTGGCATACAGGCCTCTAATCCCAGCACTCCAGAGTTATAAGAACACGGATCAGGAGTTTCAAGTCATCCTGAGACTCATTCAGGAACTGACCAACCTGGACTCCATGAGACCATGTCTCATGTCAGCATGCTGACACCATTGCTGTAGGTTCATATGAGCAAGGTCCAGTTTCCCTTAACAGAGCATGGCTCACATTCCCTCCTGTTGTGCTAATATGAGAAGGAAAACTGAACCCTAAAGTCAGATCCACAAACTCTAAGGTTCTGAGCTTCCTGGGAAACAGTGCTCAAGTAATGAAAGTAAGGATCCTGGAAACCAGACTTCCTCATCACTTGTTATGGCCCTTGTAGCAAGCCGGCAGGCCACACTGTGGGGACACAGCCCTAGAGAAGCAGGAGAGACATACCACAATCTTGTCAATGCAGTCCTCTGTAGTCTCTGCTGACTCACACTCAATTTGGCCTCCGCTGTTAACACTCCACTCATCACACTTGAGTCTCTCGTGGTGACTCAGTGCACACCACTTCACTGGTTCACAGTCAGTTGAGGTTTCTGGGCCTGTGGCATAAGGAAAAAAAAAAAAAAACCCAAGAGGTCAGAAAAGAGAGGCCCCAGCTGCTGCCTGGTGTTTATCAGTACTACTGACAGTCTGCATGCAGATGCTGAAATAAACAGATTCCATTCAAGGTACTCATCTTAGAAAGCAAGGTTAGTATGCAGGCTTTTGGTTGATTTTTATTTAGATTCAACTTTTTCTCTTTTTAATTATGTGTACACATGTGTGTGTGTGTCCCTGTGTGGAATTGTGCACATGAATGCAATGCCTTTGGAGACCAGAAGAGGGCATTGGATTCTCCAGAGCTGGAGTTACAGGAAGTTGTGAGCTGCCCAAGGTAGCTTCTGGAAACCTAACTAGACCTAAACCTCTGCAAGAAAAGCAAGTACCTTAACTGCTGAGCCGCCTCTCCAGACCCCACCTTTTTCTTTTGAGAGCCAACCAGATACTCTGCAACCCAGACACTCTGACTTTTGGCCTTTTATTATTAGTATTTCTTTCAAACAACACTTAACTACCTGAAGTCTTATTTCTACGTCCATTGTTTGTTGTCAGTTTCCATCTGGGAGAAAGTAAGCTCTGACGGGGAAAGAGGAATGCCCACCTCATTCACAAGGGCATCCTTCATGTTTAAGGAGTACCAGCACACGTCAGTATAATAAATGTCTAGCAAATAAATAAATAAAAATGCACCTGCCTATCTTTCAAACTCAGTCTCCAAGTTACTTCCTCAAGGATACCTTATCCCAACCCCCAACCACAGCCTGTTTGACTTCGTTTTGCACTCTCATAGGACCTTGCTTTTTATTATCACCACTTTCCTTTCTAAGTTCTTCTCTTATTTTGTAATCAGTTATTCAATAGTGTGACTGTCTTCTCCATGGTCTGATAGTTCAAGGACAGCAGAATCTAATACATGTTTGTAAGTCCAGCACCTAGAAGAGTTTATAGCTAGATGTTCAAAATATGCCCACTGGCTGAATGAGTAAACAAACCCCAGGGCTCCAGTGAAACCCAGGGCTGAGATCAACCTCCCCCGAGCTCCAGCTTCATCATACTTGTGTTGATACAGTACCGGCAGATATGCAAACTGCAGAAACTTCAAGTTATTTTATTAACCGTGTGACAGACTAATGGCTTTATCAAGGGAGTGGGGCTATTCTGATGTATGCAAAGGAAATGATCCTAATACCAATCCAAGGCATTTAAAATGTAAACTGCCTAATGTCCAGGCTAGCTCATGATTAATACCACTTGGCACCAGCCTACACTGAGTTCACAGGCAGGACAGAAACAGCAACAACCAGGAAGCTTTCAGTTCTCGGAAAAACTATGGCTGATTCTTGCTCTTGCTGGGTTTCCCAAGCTCTTGGGGTCACTGGGTTTATCCTGGGTACTTACATACACCTTCCCGTTGATTCCTAATGGCAGTGACATATTTATGGCCGAGGTACAGCCTGTAGTCCATCCTTGGGGGAACTCTTAAAAGTCCAAAGGCAGAATCCTTAAACAGCAGGTCCTTCCCAAGAGGAGAGCTGAACAATTGGAAGTCTTTCGATTTGCCTTTGCCAAAATGTTCCTGTTCATGAGGAAAATGGTACAGTGAATGGCAACAAGAATAAGGGGAGCTTAAAATTAGAAATGAAGAGAACTAGAAAACAAATTCCGGGAAACTAAACAAAAAGCCAGGAGCAACTTCAAGATGCTAGGAGAGAGGGCATTCAGGCATGCTCTCCTCCACTCAGCACCTTTTCTGCCTAGTACCTTGTTAGGACCATTCCACCTGCTACCTCCCTGTGTGTTTCTGGGCTTGTCTCCCTGAATGGCTGAGAGATAACTGAGAACAAGAAGTGCATCTAATCCAGAGGCTGGTACCATATGGTTGCCGCTTAAACTCTTGGTGGAAGCTGGGAGGGCTGGACAAGAGGAAGTTGGCTTACCCAACTCTGTCCTAGAGGAGTAGCACTTGCAGGGGGAGGCACCCCCTCTCCAATCATGAAAGGAGGGAGGGAGGGAGGGAGGGAGAGAGAGACAGAAAGAGAATCTTTCTTTTTGGGGCACAGGAGAGTTTTCTGGGACTTAATCTAGGCCTTGATGGCATGGCTGAGATGGAAAAAAACAGATCAAAGCCCTAAAGAGGCATCATTGGTCAAAAAAGTGGTGGATAGTGGTACCAAAGGAGGCACCCTACTACTCTGTAAAGAGTGCCAGGTGAGGCATGGTGGACAGGTTGGTGATATACAGCAGGGTTCCCCCTGTGTCCTGAACACACAAGGATTTCTAGTATGTCCACATGCCGAGGAGGAAACCCCCAGATCCAAGCATGGAGCTGTAAACAGGGGAGAATGAGTGGGGGTACCTGGGCCACTCTGAGAATCTCCCAGATCAAGTCCTCCTTGCCGTCCACACTGCGTGCCACAACAGCGTGTGAAGGGATCTTGGCCAGGTAGCAGTCCTTAAACTCATCCACTGGCTTGCGGGTGTTGTCAGGACAGAGCAGCTCAAACTTATCCCTGTCAGCCTTATCTGGGAGGACCTCTGGAGAGGGAAAGTTCAGGTGAGCCAGCAACAGGCCAAGCCAGGTCTTATGATGTCCCCTCGCCACCCCCATACTCCTGTTATCATAGAAAACATGTCAACAGGTCTGAGGATCACTGAGGGCTAGGGGGCATGCAGAAAGATGAACTCACAGCTAGATAAAGGCATGGAGGCTTCCCATGCCCCGTGAAGCTGTGACTGCCCTCCATCCCATGAGTCTTATCTCTGAAGGACTGACAGGCCAAGGTCAGGCAGACCACCTCCAGTCCTTTGCTATGGCAACACTGCCCAAGGGGCAAAGCTCCTTGTGTGGGGAGATTGATTGACAGAGAGAGGTGGGGACCCTGCCTCTGCACAGGTAGAAAACCAAGCACTGATAGAGGACAAAGCCATGTCTGGCTACTAGCCATGAAAGGGGGGATCACTTACCAAATATGGTTGTGTGCTTGACAAAGGCCACGTCCCCACCACCGTCTTTCAGACACCTGTGGGAAAGGAAAGGATCACATGAAGGGGGCTCCTCTCTGATTTAGATCGCACTGCCTAGCTCTTAGACAAGGACAGAATCTGAGCATCCCCCACAGTGGAGTCAGTACCTAGATAGGGTACCACTGAGATGAGGATGAATTCACACACAATGATAGCCCCTCAACATATACCCCAAAGTAGAAAAAAAGGCTTAAAACATCTAATGTTTTAAAAAGCTTAAAATTCCTAGTACAGAAGATAATGGTATTGGACTTTAAGGTATAAACAAGGTAAAAAAAAAAGAGAGAGCAAGAAGTCAGCCACATGTAGTGTCGGAGTGGGAGCAGGGACAAGAGGCAGGAGAGTGGCCAGTGCATTGAACATGGAACACTGCTGTCCTAGAGAGTAGAGGGTTTGTCACTGAACAGTCACCCCAGGTACTAGGGATATGTCCATCCTTTGGATGCTTCACAGTCCAGTGAGAGCAGATACCATCCAGATTTGAGAGCTCCGAGGAGAGAGAGGACCCTCAGAAAGGAGCTTGACCTATAAGGTCAAGGCATATAGGGCTAGCCTAGCCTTGGGAGTCCCAAGTTATACCACTGCCTCCCTGGGAGAAGTTTAAGACCCCGAGGTGCCCCTTTAGGCAGGCAGGAGTTGGATTTGGATCAGCAAAGAACCCCCTTTCTGAGGATATTTGGCACTTTGGCCACCATGGAGCAGCAGACAGTGTCACTCACTTGAAGGCGCCTGTGTAGCCAAAGTATGGTTGAAGAGAGGAGCAGCCACACCCTGGGCACAGTTGACACAGTTGTGGGAAGGCCACTGGATCTGCACAGGGGACACAACTGCCCGAGAAGAAATTTGCCACAGCTGCTCAATACAGAGAAACAGACAGCAAGGCGTAAGCAAGTCTCACCACAGCCAATGCCATCACCCAGTACAAACCCCCGAGGGAACAGAGAGGGACAAAGCAACTCAACCAGCAAACCCAGTCCCAGCTCCGCCTTGCTTGTGCTAACTCATCAAAATCCAAGGTTTCCAAACAGAAGCAGGTTAACCCCTGACCCATCATCACCAACCCAGGGACACAGGCCTGTGCTTCCCTCCAGCCAAGGCTTGCCCAGGTCTTTTGTCAGCCTACCCTGCTCCCTGATCTGTCAGAAAGGAGACACCTCTGGGACCTATGCACTGGAGACAGAACAGCCTAGAGAGGTGCAGGACATTGTCATGACCAGAAGATGGCACCAAAGCAACCTCTAACAGAATGGGTCACATCACCAAAGACAGGATGGGGGTGGGTAGGCTGACCCAGACACCAAGGTCCACCTGCCACTCGGGGTAGTTTAGTCACCCTCCACCACCCTGGAGTTCAGCTCACTTGTCCAGCTAATCATGAATGGGTGACCCCAGCGTGGCCATCCAGAGTAGAGATGCCAGCTTACCTTTCTCAAGAGGCTTGCGTGGCTCTGGCAAGTCACAGTAGAGCAAGCCAATGGGGATGTTCCATCCTGCAGACCTGCCCAGGCCTGTGTGACAGGACTTCTTGCCTTGGAGCTGGTTCATCTGGAACTCAGTGCCCTTCTTCACCACAGCCACAGCCATGTAGAAGGTTTGTGGATCTACACAGGGACAGTGTGAATGGAAGACCTTTCACATGGCACAGAGAAACGCTACTTGAAGAGGGCTCTTGTAGAGGGACGAGGTACCCAGGGTGATAAGGAGCCAGAAAAATCTTCCTAGGTTTAAGGATAGCAGGTGTATTTGTAACAGAATTCCAGGCAAACACAGGGGCAAGAAAGCCGCCTGGACATGGGTCAGAGATGCATTATGTAGCCTGGTCCTTTATTGTGATGGTCTACATCTACCAACACAAGGCCACCAGGAAACTGGAGTAATGATAACAGAGGCCCACACTCCCACCTCTTTTAGAGTATTTTGCGTCCCCTGGCACAGGGGTAGGGACAGTCAGATCTATCTCAGAAGACTTCTTGCACTGTTGGGATCCCACTGTGTGCTATAAGGTGGGCCCTCCCATATATATGGCACCTGAAGCTCTAGGGAGCCTCAAGGGACCCTTGATATATCACCAGATCCAATGACCTTCAGACCAAGCTGCACCCCAGCCTGCTTATCCAGTGAGGATGCCTGGCCCAGGAGGTCCCTATCAGACACACCAGTCTCAAGCAGCCCAAAGCCCACAGATGCCTTGATTTGTGTCTGTAGGGCTGGCAGGACCTCTCATTCCTCACTGACTCCCCAAAGATAAATGCTTATTAGTGTCTAACATCCAATACCTGCCTGCCAAACATGACTCAGTATCTACTAAGACATGGGGCCACAGGAGAACTTACTCTCTGTTGACCCATAGAACTCTGCTGCCACAGGCTTCAGGTTGTTGGGAGTCAGGCCTGCATCGTATACCCAACCGGCATCCACTGTCATGGCATCTGCTTCATTTCCCTGAAAGAGAATAGGCCAGACCTCAATGAAGCCCTGGTTTCTGTGGAAGGCCTCTGTAAGCCAGAGCAAATGGGGAAGAACTAATGGGGCGCCATGGGTCTAGGGCCAGCAGACCTTCATTCTGGTCAGACCATGTCCAACCCTGCTGGCCTGTGTTGATTCCATTTTCCTCAAAAGGCCACTTGGCTACTGTTGCCATTCCTTCTGCAGAGGGCAAAGGGTGGAATATTTTTCTCTTTTCCTTGCTGAGGTGTCCAGTTCCTAGACAAAAATCCTATGGAGATTTACCCTCAACAACTGCAGAGGCTTGACCTGGTGGGCCTGGTTGGGGATAGCATCCACCCTATCTAGAGGTGGTCATAGCCAGTGCACTGCAGGCTCCGACACGCTGTGGTCAAGGGCTCAGGAGCCTTCGATGACCAAGCTCTTACATCTGTTTCCGTATTCAGCCACACGGTCCTTCATTCAGAGACCCTGTATTCTGAGACTTCCTGTGAGTTCTTTTTCAGGTACTGTGATGGAGACACCTTCTGAGGAGGATGGAAACCTTGAACCCACTTGTCTCTACTCTGACTAGAGACTCACTCAGTACTTTTCTTTCCAGTCCTGAACCTATAAAACTGTAGGAACTAGCCCGGTGTGGACAAACACGCTTTTAATCCCAGCACTGGGGAGACAGAGGCAGGATGATTAGCCGTTCAAGGTCATCCTCAGGTATGTAGTGAATTCAAGGTCATCAGGGCTACATGAGACCATGATTCAAAAAAGAAGAAAGGAAGAAGAAAGAAAAGAGGGAAAGAAAGAGAGAAAGAAAGAGAAAACCAAAACCAAACAAAGAAATACCCCAAAACTGTAGGAGCTAAATTTTCTTTACAGTGGCCTTTTGTGCAGAATGCTTTCTCTGGGTTTAGTGTATTGAGTATTCCACATACTAAATGATACTAAAACCTTCCATTATTACTTTCATTTTCGGTAAAAATGTCAACTTGGACACCTGGCAGCCCCTTCCCACCCCACTTAATTCCATTTTGTAAGTGAGAAAACTGAAGCCCAGAGAGGTCAAGCCACTTGCCCGTGCCACACGGCTACAAAAAAGGCCTGGCGTTGGGGACTGGGGCCAGGCACGCTGGGTTTGTTTCCTATCATTATTGCTTCAACATTTCATGTTTGATTTACTTCATGCTTCTGTGAATGATAAACCTTTTTTTGGTGTTTTTGTTTTGAGACAGTTTATGTATCCAGGCTGGTTTTGAACTTGTGATCCTCTTGCCTCAGCCTCCAGATCCATTGCCTCAGTTAGAATTATGGGAGCTCTCCACCACGGCCCACAGAATTCTCCTGTTTAAATCAGTAAGCCACTTGAAACACTATAGCTTCCAACTATGTCTGTAGCTTATTTTCTCCTTACTTGGCAGGGGTAGGGTGGGGGTGAGGGGGTGGAGAGTGGGTAGAGGGGCCAAAAAAGTTTTATGAGAAACAGAGTAACAGTTCCTTGCAGCTAGCAGGGGGCCCCCAAATGGGTTTCCCTTTACTTAAAGTCTTAAAATAATCCAGACTGTCATTGATGTAGATATTTGAAAACAAACAGTTCTTACTGACCAAATTATAAGGCAAAAACTATAGGTCCATGATCTTTGTCACGTTATAGGTACACAATAAGAAAGTATTGCTAACTAAAATAAACTATTGATAGAAACCATTTTTTTCAGTTTATATATATGAGATTTTTGCCTGCATGTATGTAGTCAAACCCATGCAGGCAATGCCTACAGAGGCCAGAAAAGGGCATCAGATCCCCTGGAACAGGAATTACAGACAGTGGTTAGCTGCCATAATGGTGTTGGGAACTGAACCCAGGTCCTCCGCAAGAACATCCAGTGCTCTTAACTGCTGCGCTCTCTCCAGCCTCAGGAGCCAAATTTTTAAATGGTTGTTTTTGTTGCTTTATTTTCATAAAACATTACCACTGTGACCATTTTTAAGTGTACATTCACATTGTTGTGAAACCATCACCATCATTCATTTCTAGAACTTTCAGCTTCCCAAAGTGAGATTCCATACCCATTAAACAATCGCCATCTCCCTTGTTGTCCCAGCCCCTGGTAACCATGGTCCTGCTTCCTGTGTCTGTGAACGCAGTTCTTCATAGCACTTTATGGTGAATGGACTCTTACGGTATTTGTCTTGTAGCTAGCTTACATGTTTTCAAGATTCATTTACACTGTAACATGTCAGAATTTCATACATTTTTCAGACTGAAACGATCCCATTGTACATATACTCTACCTTTCACTCATTCATTCACCCATCTATGGACATTTGAGTTGTCAAATCTTTTTTTAAAAATTATTTTATTTTTTGCAGTGCTGGTGATCCAATCCTTCTAGGTGAGTGCTCTACCACTGAGCTATACTCCCAGCCACATAAATATCATTAATATCACAAAAATATTAAAAATTTTTAATTTTAGTTGAAGCATCTATTTTCAATATTATAAGCATTTAGGAGACCCAGCAGATCCTTCTCTTCTGTAACAGCTAAATGCCAGGTATGAAGTTCCTTGTGGCTCTGTTTAAATCTGCATGTACCTTCCCTACCCTACTCCCCATATTGCTAAATAAAAACAAATAACCAAACAGACAAGAACCTTGCCCAGTGCTAGGGACAGTGATCAGGAACCTGGGCTTTCTTGGCTAGGACAACAGTAGTCAGAAATCCAGGAACCCAAGGCTGAAATAGGGACTCTGACCATGAGATCAGCCATGAGAACCAGGGAAGTCTGAGCCGTGGGTAACAGGCCTTTTTTTTTTCCTGTCTTTTTGAGACAGGGTCTCCCTGTAGCCCCAGCTGTCCTGGAACTCACTATGTAGACCAGGCTGGCCTCGAACTCACAAAGATCCCCCTGCCTCTGCCTCCCAAGTGCTAGGATTAAAGGCGTGCGCCAACACGCCCGGCTTAAGCCACTTTTTAACTTTAAAAAGGTAATTGTTTTTTTGTTTTTTTAAAATAAAAAGGTTAACTTTAGTGGGTAGAGAGATGGCTCAATAGTTAAGAGCACTGACTGCTCTGCTCTTACAGAGGACCCAGGTTCAGTTCTCAGCACCCATATGGCAGCTAACAACCACCCATAACTTGAAAAGAAGGTTAACTTTATTACTTATGAACCTTTTCTCAAAAGAAAAAAGATTTAGAATGGATATAAAAATCAGATAAACATGACTTTAAAGCCAGGCATGGTGGTACATACCTGTAATCCCAGTGCTGGGGAGGCTGAGGTAGGAAGATTGTAAACTTTTAGGCCACTTCTTTATACCACACACTGATTCCTCAAGGGAGACCAGGCTCCAGCTGCTAGCTTGAGCTTTTCTGTTGCTTCTGCCCCCACCTATCTCTGCTGCTTTGCCCCACATGACAAGTCCATCCTGCATCAAGAGAGTTGACCATACTCCTGCGTAACACTGTGTTCCTAGCCTGTTTGATGTGCCTGGCTGAGAAAGTGCATATCCTCCAGGAAAGTGTTCTCTCTCTTCTGGCTAACACAATCGACATGCCTTGATCTCCTTTTCTAAGAGCAAATTCCTAAAAGGGCTTACAGGGACCAATGCGTACCTCTTGCAATTCTGAAGTGTCTGTCTCCAGGACCTGAGAGCCATTCCTTTGAAATATAACCATCAGGAAGGACAGGGTGCCTGTCTCCCCATCTCTGTATGAAAACAACCCTAAAGTAGATAGCTGCCATTCAGTGGCACAGCCTCATCAGGTTCACTTTGAGGAATCTTCTCTGACCTTGCTGAGTTCCTGCACTCCCTCTCCCTTCATCTCCTTTTAAAATGTCCATGTTGGGGGATGACAAGATGGCTGAGCAGTTAAGAGCACTCACTTCTAGCAGATGACCTGGGTTCGGTGCTCAACACCCACATGGTGGCTAACAACTGTCCTAACTCCAATTCCAGGGGATCTGACACACTCTTCCAGCCCCCTCAGGCACTGCATGAATAAGTGTTCTTACATACATGCAGGCAAAACAGTCATACACATAAAATAAAAGTAAAAAAAAAATTAAATGTCCATATTACCTCTGCACATACCGGAATTAAGCTTATTTTTCCCCCTACTGTCAGTAGTTACTGAATAAAATCTGTTTGTGCTGTTCTTCCTAATACCTGGCTGTGCTTCTCTGGTCCTGCTTACAACTTAAACTAGCCTGACTCTCCCTGGTCTCAGGCCCCTTGCACATGCTGTTTACTCCTTGTGTGATCTAGGCTCATTGTAGAACCATGGCTCATTATAGAACCCTACAAGTTGATCTACTGGATCTCAGCTTCATTGCTTCCTTCTCAAAAAGACTGACTGTCATGTCAGGTGTAGTGGTGCAGGCCTTTGAAACCAGCACCTCAGGAGGCAGAGGCAGATTGTGAGATTGAGGCCAGCCAGAACTATGAGAAGACCCTGTCTAAAAATATAGTAAGGTGCTGGAAAGATGGCTCAGCAGTTAAGAGCACTGACTGCTATTACAGAGGACCAGGGTTCAATTCCCAGCATCCACATGGCATCTAACAACGGTTCCAGGGGACTCCAATATTCTCTTCTGACCTCTTGACCTCTGCAGGCATTGGAAGACATGGGTGCACTTACACACATTCAGGTAATACACTCATACACACAAAATAAAAAATTTTTAATAAAATATTAAAAAATAAAATAAACCAAAAAAAAAAAGGTTGACTGCTGACCACAAGGGTCAAAGAAGTTTTCTCCTTAAATCCCCGTATGAACACTACTTTCCCTTCATTGAAATTAATAGTTTACTCATTGACACGTCTTTCTTTTTCCCTCACTAGGTTGTGATCTTCTTGAGGGTAAAGCTAATTTGTGTTTAATTCACCTCTGCAGCTCCAGGAGCTAGCACAGGATCTGACACATGCTCAGATGTACAAGAACGATACTGAGGGAGCAGAAAGTAGAGAATAAAGGGGTTAGCCATCATCTGTAATCATGACTCTTAATCCTTCCTCCTCCTCTTCTTCTCAGTGATGTGTCCAGGCCCTATAGGACTGATGTACTGCAGTGGTAGAGCATGTGCCTAACATTTGCAAACCCATGGGTTCAATCCCTAGTATCACACACACACACACACACACACACACACACACACACACACACACACACACACACACACACACACGGTCTTCCAAGCAAGATTATATAATAATCTTTGATGCCACAGACATTTTTGGTTTTTCTGCATTCACAGAACTTAAGTGCCTCAACGTAGTCGCCTTTCAGCATATGTTGGCCTTTTGCCTTCCAGACACCCAGCATGACCTCGCCTATGTCCATTTTTGAAGTGACGTGAAGGGCAGTGGGGGTTGACTACCCCTCATAACAGCCTCCTTCCCGTGAGTAAAGAATTATTCCAAAAGGACTAAAGAAAGCAAGCACAGACAGCCTCCCACTGTTTTAGGCATCAAGACTTACAGAAATGGCCTTGATGCAATCAGGGTAGGAGGTTTTCTTCATACAACTGAGCCGGGGACCATCTGCTGGAAGGACGTTTTTCATGTGGTCCCGGAAACTGGCACATTTAGCGGCCTCATGCTCTGACACTGCGCACCATCTTACAGTTTTGTCAGGGGCAGCCAGACATAGACCTGGGGGAGAGAAAGCAGAAGTGTAAAGGACCCACTCCCTGTGTCAGGGGAGTGACAGCAGCACCTACTGAAGGCTCTTGATGGCCACCTTCCCTCTGTCCTGTCCTTACCTCACTCTTGTTGGTAGATACAACAGGGCACAGACTTTGCTGTGTTCTGATACTGGGCCAAGAAGTCACCCTAATGAACTTCCGTTTTCCCACTGACCACCCTGTTTTGCTCAGAGAGATGCTGGCCACTGGAAATGACAACCTACTCTTGCCTGTTCTCCTGCCTCCTTGCTTTGCTGTCATGGCGATCAGTCCACAATGAAATGTAAGCTTCAGTGTGCAAACACCACTGTCAGACATCTTGACACATGGATCAATACTAAAGTCTAGGAAGCTGGGGGTTGGGGCATCTTTTAGGAACGAGAGAGCTGGACTCAGAAAACAATGTGGTTTCGCCCAAGGTCATCCTATTTGTTAGCAACCCAGCCAAGTATAGAACCAGGCTGCCAGACACTCAGTCTGCTGGCCAAGCCACAGAAAACATTCTTAGGTGCTTTGCCCCTTTTGGGCAGTAGTTAGATCATGAATTCTCTTGTGGCACATGTCAGCTATGCTCTTTTTAGAAATAACTAGAAACCCCATCTATTCACCAGGCTTCCCTCTGTTTCCACCAAACTCTCCATCAATTTTTTACCCCCTTTTCTGTGCCAGTCATTTAGACTGGTAGCTAAAGATAGTCTGATATATCACTATTGGGTGGGAGGGTCTGCCTATATATACTGCATATGTGCAGATGTACATACATGGAGATCAAAGGGTGACATTGGGTGTCTTCCTCTATCACTCTCCACCTTATTTTTTGAGACATGGTCTCTCATTGAACCTGGGCTAGACGATTTGGCTAGACTGGCTGACCAGCAAGTCCTTAGGATCTGCCTGTCTCTGCTTCCCCAGTGCAGGGATTATAGGCACACACTCCTGCACCAAACTTTTTACACGAGTGTTGGGGATTCTAACTCAGGTCCTCATGCTGTGTCACAAGCCCTTTACCGACTAAACCATCTCCACAGCTGATTAACTGCTAAAATCCATGTGCTAGACACCACCCATGAGCTTTGGCACTCTCCTCTGAGCTCTCATCGCATCTATTTCTTCAGTAGGTTGACACACTGATAGCAAAGTCCAGAAGACACAAAGCTTGGAGGCCAGTAGTTCTTCAGGATGGATAAGGAGGGACCGGGGAATGGATTCCCCCAACTCCTCTTCTTTATCCCATCCTGACCAGTGGCATATTACCAGAGCATCACAGCCACTGACTACTCTTCCCAAAGCACCTCTCTAGACTCTCCAAACTAGCTCTTCTAAGTTCTGTAGGTACATTCAGTCCTCAGTCACTCCCTGTGCACAGCCCCATAAGGTGCTCTGAGCTGAAAAGCACCAGGCTCTCCTTTTAAGGAGGGGCAGGCTAATGAGAGTCCAACAAGCACTTGGGGCTTCCAGTCCCCCTCAGGTCCATAATTAGCAGAATGTATCACTGGCACCTTCCACCTCACCCTCCCAGGCAGGTGCTGTCCCTACCCCTGTCCCAGAAGCCCATCCACAATTTGGACTCAAGAATTCTGAGTCCAATTCTGGCTTTAAATCCCACACTCTAAGCCATCAGCATTAATAGTGTCAAAGGCACCCAAAGGACATTGAACAATTCACAGATACAGGGTCAGAGCCCAGGAAGTTGTGACTGCCACATTAAGTATTTGGGTTCCATTGAAGAGGCACAGAGCAGAGTCTGAAGGTGTGGCAGGGAGGAAACGAAGGACAAAGCCTTGAGCTTTCTAGCCCGCAGTACACAGGGAGTACCCAGGCCAGCACTCTGCGGTCCTTCCCCATGCCCACACTCACCCAGGATGGCACAGCCCAGCAGGGTACCCACGGCAAGCCTCATCCTCCCGATGTGGCGAGGAGCGGGGAGCACAGAGAGACCCGCTTCTGCACCGCTTCCCTGCGCGCTGAGCCCTTTTATCCTTGGAGGAGACCAGCTGGGTGCAATCTTTGACCTCCTGTGTTTACTCAGTCCAGTTGCCCAATCGTCCTGCATCCATCCCCCTTCCTTTTTTGCCCTGATGATCACCTCATTTCCTGAGCTGTGGGACAGACCCAAGAATGGAATCCAGCACAAAAAGACTGTTTGGAAGGACGCCTAAAGCAAAATCCACTCTTTGTTAATCGCCGCTCTCTCAGTGCCAGGAGCAGCAGGGCTACAGCAGGCTGGGGGAGTGGGGGGTGGGGGCTTGCTCCTGAACTCCGGGCTGGGCCGCCAGAGCTGCTGCATGCCAGCACCCTCACCAGCTTTGCACAGATAGAGACAGGCTGGAGAGGGAAGGGAAGTGCCCTGGACCCAGACTAGAACTGAAAAAGGAACATGGCGGGGGGAAAGTGGAGCAACTCTGTCTCCATCCCTGCCAGGCTGAGCCCCCTCCAAGACTGAAAAGTTCCTGTCCTTGAGCCTCTAGGGAACACTCAGGCTGGGAACAGTCAGTCACAAGGGCAAGGAACTCCCTGTCCCTGCCAAGACTTAACCAGAATGCTATGAGACCCAGAACAGAGGACCCTTTCAGCACAAAGGACAAAACCCAAGGAGTCTGCTCTGATTGCATGTCTTCATCACAAACAGCACTGAGCCTGCACCCTCTGCATGTGCTGTATTTTTTAAAGTTTTTTTTTTTTAAATGTGTATGAGTGTTTTGCCTGTGTGTCTGTATGTGCACGACCTATGTGCAGTGTCCACGAGGCCAGAAGAGGGTGTCAGATCTTTTGGAACTGGAATTACAGAGGGTTGCTAGCCACGTGTGGATGCTGGGAAATGACGGGTGCCCTCTGCAGGAGCAGCCAGTTCTCTTAATCACTGAGCCATCTCTCCAGCCCAGTATATGCTATTTTAACTATAACTGTGTACATTTCGACCACACACAAGGACTGGAAATTTATGAAAGGATGAGTTAAAAATGAAGCAGGCATTTAAAAATGGCCCTCTGCTTATATTGCCTTTGGTTAGATGAATACTATCTCAGGGCACAATATGCACTCAGGAAAAAGGTCAAGATGCTGTAGGCAAAACGTAGATCCAGATTTCAGAGTCATCAAGAGAATTTTAAGGTTTTCTTATTCAAGTTAACCAAGGTGTGGTCCTCTCTGGTTCTCAGTTTCCTTGTCTTGACTCTAAGATGGAGATTCTAAAGCACCAGCATCACAGGGCTATGGTAAAAGCTCAGTGAGGCACTCAGCAAGTCTCGGCCATCGTTAAGAAGTTCAAAAACCATTGGTAAAGAACTAAATAGGTCAGTGAGAACACAGATACAGACATCTTGGGCCTTCAAGGACACAGAGCCCCTGATACCAATCTCTCTTCTCCATACACCCATATAAACACACACAGGCCTGGGCATCCCATATAACAAGGGTTATATCCACATGTACACCCCTGTGGCTAGTAGTCCCTTTGAGGAGCGGCAGGCACAGGACTCTGTTCCTGTCTTCCTAACAAGAACCAACAGCCTGGACCTCTCTACCAGGTGTGGGCAGGTGTGAACAGGTGATGTGGGTCTGCCTCAGGTTTCAGCTGACAGCTCATTCCAGGCCTAGTCAACATGTCACTCTGGCTGCTTTGTTTTTGTTCACTCTGTTTATGAACACAGGCACAAGTAGAATTTTGTTACTGTTGCTATTGTTTGGCTTTTTTGATTGTCTCTGAGACAGGGTCTCACTATGCAGCCCTACTTGGCCTAGAATTCGCTGTGTAGACCAGGCTGGCCTCAAACTCACAGAGATCTACAAGTGTTTGCCTCCAAAGTGCTGGCCACCACATCTAGCCACAAGTGGTTTCATTCCAGTATAATTCCAGTTGTTTTCTTTTTTTTTTGGACAGAAATGCTTTTGAGGCAGATGTGTTTCTTGTGAGGTTTAAAGAGAAAGTCATATTGTCTTATTTTCGTTTTTATAGTTATTTATTTATTCATGTGTATATATGTGACATGTGAAGGCCAGAGGACAAATTGCAGGAGTCAGTTCTCTCCTTCCACCACGTGAGTTTTCCTGAGCTCAAATTCATGTCTTGAGGCTTGGTGGCAGGTGCTTTTACCCACTGAGCCATCTGATCAGCCTGAAGATTAGATTTTCTAATCTTTTTTAAAAAATATTTTATTATTTTTATTTTGTGTATGAGTGTATTGCCTGCATGTATGTGAGTGCACCTGTGTTGTGCAATGCTGCAGAGGTCAGAAGAAGTTCAGATTCCCCTGGAACTGGAGTTAAGGACAGTTCATAGCTGCCACGTGGATGCTGGGAATCGAACCCGGGTCCTCTGCATGAGCAGTCAGTGCTCTTAACCACTTAGCCATCTCTCCAGCCCCAGATTTTCTAATCTTTACATCCACCTAACCAGGCCCATGAAAAACCCTAAACATGGAACGCAAAAATGTCAAAAACAAGAGCCAGGGTCAGGGTGCCACAGTCATCAAGCACCCCTTTCCCTTATCCATCCTGGGGCAAGACAACCTCCATCTTTGCATCAGACACCTCAGAGGCTCCATATCACGTGCTACTGTCTATCTGTGGAACCACATAGGAGATGGTGCCAACCTACACCCTGAACATGAGAGAGTGGCGATTTGTTAATCTTTTGCAATAAGAATAAATGTTACTAGACCATCCCAATACATTGTTTCCTGCAGAAAGGAGTAACACACAGACATACCAGCCACTGTAGATACAGACCATTGGCTTAACAGGAGCTTTAGTAGGAACATGAGGCAAACATGTGCATCACCAATGTGGAAGAGAAGCCACTGCTGTCCTGTCTTACTGTCCCCTCATCCTTTCATGGGTTCTTGTGCGGGAGGGGCACATCCCTCCTGCCACCTCACAGCAGGCATTAAGATATAATCTAGATGCCTAGAGGTAAGAACAGGAAGATTCAGGTGAAAGGTGGTCCAGGGTGAAGCTGGCTGGTGGGATAGAAGGCAGATACTAAGTAGAGAAATGGGTGTACCTTGAGCTGATGCCTTGGCTAGGCCCCTCAATGAGCTTACAGAGTCTACCAGAAAGCAGGAAGGGGAATTGTGAGGTGTTGAACTCATGACACAAACTCAAGGAAGTTCAGAGTAAGGCATGGAAGACAGATGGAAAATGATCCTCCCTCCCTAAGCCTCTCCTACACGCTCAAGGTGAACCTACATCTGGCCCCTCCTCCAGCCACAGGCATGCACAAAGTACTCCCTGGCTCAGCTGAATCCTCTCCAAACCAGCCAGCTCAGAGGGGTGCCCTGAATCCAAGCTCAGGCAGGTGCACAAGACATGGAGAAAGTTCGAGTTTGACTTGGGTACCTGGAGCTGCCACATCATCCACCCACACCTGGTAGGACGGCAGCACAGCCCTGTGTTTGCCATTCTACAGAGGGGTAGGCAGGACACAAGTCAGCTTTGAGGGTGCACATCTGGATGTAACACTGGTTGTAGTGGATGCCCAGGCCTATGTAAGTCTATAGGGCTGTGTGAAGATGAGAAGTTGGCATCACAGTGTTATGTGTCCAAGACATCTGCATCTGTGTCCTCACATGTTTAATTCTACACCAAAGGCCCTCTAGACTTTCGTTGTTCCTCTTGAATCCCTTAATAATGGCTGAGACTTGCTAAGAGTTTCACTGAGCTCTCACCGTAGCCCTGTGATGCTGGTGCTTTAGAATGAATCTCCATCTTATAGATGAGACAAGGGAACCAGAGGGGACAATACCTTGTCAAAGGTCAGCTGCAATGCTAGGGTGCAAAATTGGGTAGAATGTTTGCAAGGTAGTCCCATCTACCAGGGGTATGAGTTCTACCAGGAAAGCAGAACATGTGGAGGCCAAAAGGGTTCACCTGCGGTCACACAGAGAAGGGGACAGGCCCGGACTCCAGCCCTGCCTTTTCTCCACATACACCTCCACCCCACTTCTGCCAGCTCTTGTCAGCCTGGGAAAGGAGTGAGTGCCCAACCTCAGACCCTCAGGTGGAGCTGACTGGGTTGCGCTGGACTAGAAGGAAATCATGGTTTTAGGCCTTTGGATGTGCCAAGCACTGCTCTGGAGCAAGAGTTTGTGATGTTGACCAATAACCTTACAGATGAAATAAGTCGCCATGTTTTTCAGATAAGGACACTACAGAAAAATGAGAGCTCCTTGTTCATAGAGCCTTAGAAGTGGCACTCAGAACTCCTAACCCCAGCCTTCTCTAGACCAAGCTGCTGAGATTTGATCTCTCTGTATTTAGTTAGGGCCAGAGAAGGAGAAGAGAGGAAAGTAGGAAGAAAAGAGAGACAGAGAGAGGAGTTAAAGAGGGCTTCCAGGTTCAGATCAACCTAAGTATGACTCAAGTCTTGTACCACAAGCAGAATAAAACTCTAACATTTCAATCATACAGCTGGCCTTCTGGTAAAAACAGGTGAATTTCTGTGTACGTGCAGGGAAGTTTGGGGTACTGCCCAGAAAGGGGTGGGTAAGAAAGCGGTGGGCCTCTGAACAAATATTTGCCGTTTACAAATGTTGCCCAATTTACATAGAAACAGAGCAAACAAAGAGCCTCTGTCTGCTGCAGGCTCTCCCCCTCCTCCCTCCCCCGAAGTGTCCTCTGCCCCGCACCATAGCCTGCTCTGAAAGCCAGGATCTGGGTCATCTTGGAGAGGGAGCAGCCTGGCAGCAAAGCTCACAGGCCAGCCACCCTGGCCGCCTGCTGGGTAAGGGGGACTCAGTGAAGAAGGCAGGAACAGAGCACGGGCCTCATGGGGAACTATGGAACATTCTGATATGGCATACAGTACCACCTCCTTTTTGACACCCTCTCTCAGTCCTTCCTCTCAGAAGTCCCAGGAGAATGGAAGGTGTTTCATTCCTTTCATAGCAGAGACCACAAAAACATCTTTCTCACAAAGAATAGTAGTCCATGGCCAGGTAGAATGAATTCAACCCAACAGTTAAGAAGAAATCATACCAGCCCTTCACATATTTTTTCAGGGAACCAAACACTAGGAACAGTCCCTGACTGATGTTCTGAGGATAAAATGT